TAGGTTAAAATGTATTAATTATTTGTTTTGGTGTTAGAGTGTGTCAGCGAAGTTTGTGGTTACAGGAAAGTGGGAGCAGAGGAAGAGGAGCGATTGGTGGAATGAGATGTTAAGAGAGTAGTAAGGGAGAAAAAGTTAGCATATGAAAGTTTTTACAAGTAGAAGTGATGCAGGAGGGAAAGTATATGGAGAAAAAGAAGAAAGTTAAGAGAGTGGTTGAAGGCAATGTAAAAAGAGAGCAAAAGAGATAGTGGGTGCGAATTAATCAACATATTTTAGTATGAAAATAAGAAAAAGATTTGAGTGAGATTAACAAGTTAAGAAAGCTAGAGAACAAATGGATTTGTCAGTTAAAAAATATGGAGAGAGAGTTATTAAATGGAGATTTAGAGTATTGGGAAGATGGAAGGAATATTTTAGAGGAATTGTTAAATGTTGATGAAGATATGGAAGCTGTGATTTTCGTGTATAGGGCAAGGAGAATAACATCGTAGATTGAGGAAGAGCCAGTTGTGAGTGTGGGGAAATTGGTTCCGTGAGGCAGTAGGTAAAAATGAAAGGAGGGTAAGGCAGCCGGGATTGAAGGATAAAGATAGAAAGTTAAAAATCAGGTGGGGATATAGTTATTGGAGAGGTTGGTGCAATTATTTAATAAAGTATGGAAGAGGTAAGGTACCTAAGGGATTGGCAGAGAGCATGCATAGTTCCTTTGTATAAAGGCAAAGGGGACAAAAGAGAGTGCAACAAATATAGGTGATAAGTCTGTATAAGTGTCCCTGGTAAAGTGTATGGTAGAGTTAAATTGAAAGAATTAAGAGTAAGACGGAGAATAGAATAGCAGATGAACAGGAGGGCTTTAGGAAGGTAGTGGGGTGTGTGGACATGTGTTTACAGTGAAACAATAAGTGAACCAGTATTAGATAAGGCTAAAGAGGTCTTTGTGGCAATTATGGATTATGAAAAGGCGTATGACAGGGAGGATAGGGGGGCAATGTGGCAGATGTTGGCAAGTGTATGGGTAGGAGGTAGTTACAGAAAGCAGTGAAGATTTACGAGGATAGTGAGGCTCAAGTTAGAGTGTGAAGGAAGGAGGGAGATTATTTCCCAGTAAAAGTAGCCCTTAGACACGGATGAGTGATGTCACCGAGTTGTTTAATATATTATAGATGGGGTTTAAGGAAGTAAATGCGAGTGTCTTGGCAAGAGCGTGAGATACAAAGAATAAAGAATCACACACAAAACGCAAAGTGGGAGTTGTCCAACAAGCTGCTCTTGCTGATGACACTGTGCTCTTGGGAGATACTGAGAGAAGTTGCAGAGATTGGTGGATGGAATTTGTAGGGTGTGCAGAAAGAAGAAAATTAAAGTGTGAATACAGGAAAGAGTAAGTGTTATGAAGGATAACAAAAAGATTAGGTGATGAAAGGTATTGAATATCAGATTGGAGGGAGAGAGAGTAATGGAGGAGGGTGAACGTATTCAGATATTGGGAGTGGACGTGTCGCGAATGGGTCTATTGAAAGATGAGGAGAATCATAGAATTGATGTAGGGAAAAAGAGTAGTGGTGCACTTAGTGTCTGGGAGTGAGACAAAGAAATTTGTCCTTGGTAGGCAAAGAGGGGAATGTATTGAGAGTTATATTTTTTAACCAACGCTCTATATGGGTGTGACGTGGGTGATGAATGTTGCAGCGTAGGAGAGAGGCTGGGGCAGTGGAGATGACGTGTGACTGAGGCAATGTGTGGTGTGAAAATAATGCAGAGAATTCGTAGTTTGGAAGTTAGGAGGAGGTGCGGGATTACCAAAACGTTGACCAGAGGGCTGAGAAGGTTTGTTGAGGCGGTTCGGACATGAAGAGAGGAATGGAGCTGAAACAGAAATGAATTCAAAGTGTACAGTGCTGTAGTGGAAGGAAGGCGGGGTAGGGTCGAGACCTAGGAAGGGTTGGAGGGAGGGGTAAAGGAGTTTTGGTGTGGCGAGGGGCTTGGACTTTCCAGCAGCATGCGTGAGCGTGTTTGATAGGAGTGAATGGAGACAAATGTTTATAATACTTGACCGTGCTGTGGAGTGTGAGCAAAGTATCATTTATGAAGGGATTCAGTAAAACCGGCAGGCCCGGACTTGAGTCCCTGGAGATGGGAATACATCGCCTGCACCTCTGAAGGTTACTGGGTGTTAATGTTGCAGTTAAAAAACTGTAGTGTAAAGCACACCCCTTCTGGCCAAGACAGGATGGGTGAATATGGTGAAAGTTTTTACTTTTTCGGGCCACCCAGCTTGGAGGGAATCGGCCAGTGTGGAATAATAAAAAAAAAAAATAATAATAATATATAATATATATATATAAATATATATAGTAATATATATATATAAATATAAATAATATATCAATATATATATATATATAAGATATATATAATATGCAAAAATAACAAATTCTAAATAACATTTACAATAATAAATTAGTCAACTCAGTATCTCACGACAACCTAATGACGCTCTGTCTCACACGACACATATCCGAGTTGTGATGCTCCCTGTGTCATACGACACATCCGTGTAATGACGCTCCATCTCAACTGTGTCCCTTGACACCCTTTTATTCTCTGCATTGACGCTCCTACTCTCCTTGTCAACACGACAACCCTTTTCTCTGCGTCATACACTACTGTGTCACCCTTGACACCCAGCGACACACTCACACAGCGTCTTTCTCGAGGCCAGTCGCATGACACTATTCAATGTACACTACAACCTGATCATCTTCAGTGTCACATGACACCCTTTTCTTCTCAGTGTTTCCACTACGGTCCCTATAGCAAATCTCAGTGTTACACTCCAAATACTTGCTTAATGTCACACAACGTCCTAGCGCCAGTCAGTGTCACACTCCAACTTTTTCTTCACGTAGTTCCCCCTAAAACAGCAACGACACTCCAGCCCACAGTTTGACGCAGCGTACGACGGTAGAGTCCGCATACGTCAGTGTCCCCTGAAAATACTCTACTCAAGGCCGGTAGAAGTATACACCGTAAGAATGGCCTGGTGAGTACTTCTACCGCCTTCAAGACTGGAAGAATGTTTTGCAAAATACTGCTTGCAGAACACCATGCTGCGAGCTCACTGAATGAGGCCGTCAAGTAACTGAGGCCAACAGACTCAGTGAGCTGTGGCGAGCGCTTCCTCTAACACCAGTAGATGCATATAATAAGATGGTCAGACGAATACTCTACTGCCAGTAGATGTCTACCGTAAGGTGTTCTGGTAGTTACTGCTTAGATGCGTACCGTGAGGTGTTCAGGTACTTACTGCTTCTAAAGCCAGTAGATGTGTACCGTGAGGTGTTCAGGTACTTACTGCTTCTAAGGCCGGCTCAGCAGTCCCCACATTGGGTTTGATGACGTACCCAGTGGTACTGCTGGCCGCAGGTTAACAGCCCAACAGCTAGTTTGGCAGGGGGCCGCAACACTTAGCAATGATCTCTTTCTTCATATCCATAGTAATTCTCACCCTTTTTGCTGTAGGGTTGGCACTAGAAGCTTTCTTGGGGCCCATGGTGACTTATTTTGCAGGTGCAATCACTAAAAACGCTGTGATAATATGAAATGTTCCGATTGTATATTTGGAAGCGACCACGGTGGCTGGTTGTAAACACTGGCACCCATGGGACAAGTGAGGCGCGCTCAGGCCACACGTGGACGCGTCTCAAACGGAACGAATCGCGTTGGGAGAGTTTTTTAGCACTAGCCGAGGCAAAATTTTTGTGTTAAAATGTATCGCTAGGCGGATTTAACGTTATGCGATGCGTTCGTTAGGCGAGGGTCCACTGTACATGTATGTGTCTTTTTTTCATTTACATACACACCTATGATGGTGGGTTTTGGAGAGGTGTAGGGATGATGGCTGGAAGCAATGAGGAAGTGCGATGGTGACCATGTGGGTGGAAGTTGGTGGCTCAGTGTGGGTGGTAGTGTAGATGATGGGTGACTGAGTGGGTGGGTGTGCAGTTGGTGTGGGCAGTAATTAGGGTAATTGGTGGTTACATGACTAGAGTGTAGATGGTATGTTAGGGTGTGTGGGCTGTGATAACATGGGTAAGGTATGGGTGTGTTGCTGTGGGAATGGGGCTGTGAGGGCTAGAGGCTGTGGGGGAGTGGAATGAAAGCATGAGTAAGGTGTGGGGGAGTGGTGAGTGAAAGCATGAGTAAAGTGTGGGGCTGGGTGGGCTAAAAGCTGTGTGTGTTAAAAACTCAACCTGTCAACTTAGGGATCCCTCTAGGCCAGGGGTGGGCAAACTTTTCAGTGCAGTGGCCACATTCAGTTGATTCAAACACAAACATCTTTCTTGCAAATTTTTTTCAGATTTTGAAATTTTTCTGAGTGCAGAGATGCATAAAACTTTACATCTTCTTTCAAATTTCCTCTTGATCTTGGTGGGCTGCACAAAAACCTTTGGCAGGCCGCATGCGGCCCGCGGGCCATAGTTTGCCCACCCCTGCTCTAGGTAGTGTCCTCATCCCTCTACAATTTCTCATATACATAAATGACCCTCCTAATGCCTCCCATGAACTTCAAACTAATTCTATTTGGAAATGACAGCTTTTATTGTCGCAACACCAGATTCATTTGTTTTCAAAACTGTTAATGATAAGCCCATACAGATATTTACTTGGATTTTAACCAACTGATACTTAACACTGACAAGACCCTGCAACATCGTGGTTAAAAAAAAGTTCAACATAGCTCTATAGATAAACTCTCACATAATATTCAAACAAGTTAATTAGTTCTCAAGAATTTAATCTGCATTACTGCTTCCCGTTTCACTATTTCATAGATCCAAATGCGACACGTTAGGTCACTCTGCCTTGGCACAAGAGTGCTGCAGGGTAATAAAAATCAAAATATTAAATCTAAACATTTTTGAAGTTTACAGTGACTTCAAGAAAGAAATATTCATGAAAAATGCAAAACCAACAAAGCTCCATATGAATCTAACCTTTTTGTGCAATTTTTCGCAAAGACTGAACAACTCTTGCTGAAAGGTCAGTGCTAAGGACCTGATGTTCCAAACCCAAGAAAGCACCAGCTTCTTCTCCACAGATGTACACAGAACAACCAGTCCTAGAGAATGTGCCCCACGTTCCATTATTTAAAGGCAGGAGAGGAACTCCTTCAAGATCATTATAATTTTCATCTGAAATAACATACTCTAAAAGGTATGCTCGATTCCACTCTTCTCTGGCTGCCTTGTGTTTTTTAAGATTCTTCCTCAACATTGAGGAGTAACTGAAGCTGGGGCAGAACCTGCAAGTAAACATACAATATTAATTAACTTTGGATCAATCACTGAAGGGAAATTCATTTAGGGATAACTCTTCTACCAGTATACCTCTCTATACTCCCCATTCCCCCCCCCCCAAAAAAAAAAAAATAAATATATCGAAGCTTCATGACTGTGTAAAAATTAAAGCAATTAATCAGGGAAATTAAA